CTCTGGTGTTTTACATACCTCACTGGTGCTGTTGTGAAAAGATAAATTGTATCCAGCTCATGGGTGGTTGGTTCCCTTTTCCTCTGAGGATACAAATTGACTTGTTCTGTCACTCAAAAAATAACTCAGCATCTACTCTGTGCCAAATGTAATTTTGAGTAGGTCAGGCAGGATGTCTTAAACAGGAATTCTCAGAGGGCCTGTGAATCCCTTAAATTTCATGCAAGATTTCACACACGTGCTGATTTTGCTGAGGGAAAAAGCCACTAATTTCTCCAGAATTTCAGAGAGCTCCAGGTCTTCCCAAAGGTTAATACTTCTGCCTAAAGTGATTCTTGAAGATTTTTGTAAAGATCGACATTTTATCAACTGAGAAGGGAAAATTTACTCTGAGAGTAAAGGCTTCCCAGGTTGCTCAGTGGTAAAGAATCCACTTGCAATGCAGGAGATATGGGTTCCATCTCTGGGTTGGGAAGATCCCCTAGAGAAGGAAATGGCAAGCCATTCCAGTATTCTTGCCTGGAGAATCCCCATGGACAGAGGAGCCTGGTGGGCTGCAGTCCATGGGGTCACAAAAGAGTGAATAACAACAAAAGGAGTATTTTGCAGAGTGGTGCAGGACTTGTAAGCGACAGGAATCTTGGGCAGCCAGGATACTTCTTTTCCACTATTTTATGTTCCAATTTTCCTGTACTAGCTTCCCTTCCCCTCCCGCTGAATGGGAGCTGAGCTTCTGGGCTCACTTGGGCAAGAGCTATTGGTTGGAAAGTGATGAGAGAGGCCAGACTGGCTGGGAGGTGGAAACAAGAATGATTAGTTGTGCCGGAAAAAGAGGTTATGGGGCAGGGGAGAGGTCAGTTTGGAAGAACGGACAAAATAGAAGTTACTGGAAGAGGTGGGGTTAAGCTCATCTCCCTTTCAGAAAGTGTCCCTCTCCCTTCCTCACACATACTTCAACTCCCAGCTGTTTCTTCTAATCCCGGCGTCCACTTTAGCATAAGTACTTTAGAATGCTGGACAATTACATTTCAGGGAGGAACCTTCACTTCTGTAGATGAGGAAATTAGGCCTAGATAGGAAGAGGACTTGCTCAGCATTTTGCGACCCAGTCAGCTCTATGGCCCAGGTCTCGGTGTATCTCATCCCAGGCCTTTTTCACAGCATCAAATATCCACCATAAGCAGGAAGACTTCTCTGGAACAGCTGGAGGCAAGGCTGAAGGAACTCTTGGTGTCTGGGCAATAACCCGGCAGAAGGGATGGAGAGAAGGCTTGGGCCTGGAGAGGGTTTCTGTGGGCTGCATTCTGCCCCTGATACCTGGCCAGAGGGGCCCCCACTGGGGGAGCCTTCACAGCCTCCTGGCTGAATGTTGGGGCGATGCTTATTCCTGAATTAGGTGTTGGAGGGTCGAAACGGAATGGGGAGCTGGGGTGAGGGTCCAGCAGCACTCAGTGGGAGAAATGCGTTCCCAAACAAGAAAGGACACCTTTTTTGTGTTTGTGGGAAGGGACTTGTGCTCTGGTGATAAGCAGTGAATAAGGGTAGCAGGTAAGGCCAGAGAACAGGAAGAGGAAGAAAAAGAAGTTGTGGTGTGTATTTTTTGGGTGGGGCAGGAGAGTTGTTTGGCGGCTCAGTTTTGGCTCCAGACCTTCAAAGAGCTTTTACCACTGAAGCAGTATGGTTGCTCTGGTAACAGGGTAGTTGTTACTAGGTTGTTGCTACATAAGGAAGTAGGGAGCCGTCGGTTTGCCATCCAGGATCTTTGCCGAGACATGCACAGGAGGTTGTCACGTCGTTCACAGGTGTCCAGGGTCTGGATCTGGGCTCACAGTTCTCTTCTTTTCTCTGCTACCCGCGTCTGGGTCTTGTCTGCACTCCTTATCTGCCCCGCTGAGTCTCTGACCATATATGTCATTTTTCGGGGCTCCAGGAATGCAGTGGACTTAGAGCAGCCTCTCCTGCGGGGTTGGCTGAATGGACTGAATTAATCAACTCCCCTCCCTCACACATCTAGTGAGCTGGTGAAGGGAGAAGCGGTGGCTTCTCTTTAGGGCCGGGGCAGAAGGTGCCGCCTCTAGGCTGCAGGCAGTCGCGTCCCTAAAGCCAGACCCCAGACCTGAGCAGACCCAGCGTCCTGGCTCTTCTCCCTGCCCGCCTGTGGCCGCTGCTGTGCTGGTTTCCGCCTCCTGGACCTCTGCACTCTGGGTATCGTGGGCCTCCTCCTTCCCTACCTGTACCCTCCGAGCCTAACGGTGGTCTGAAACCGCATCAGGAACTCCCCACAGAGCAGAGTGGGCTTAGGAGCCTCCAGGAGCCTGCAGACTGTCCGCGGTGACTGGCAGGCAGATTGCATTTCCTGTACCTTGATCCTGTTCTGGGGCAAAGCCAGCTGGGCCCCCTGGCTGTGGCCTTTTTCCTTCAGCCTTATTGCCTCTGGTCACCTCCTGCTCCCGGGACCACAGCTGACCTGTTTCAGGCAGGGGTGTGGCGCAACCCTGTGCTCCTTAGATTCTTGTGCTTTCTCTTCCCAGTAACTGCTGGGGTCTGGGAGGCTTCCATGCTCTATGACGCTGGAGGAGAGGGGCATGGGCCCCAACCTTCCGCAGCTGGGAGGACACAGCTGGCCCGGCGGGGTGATAGGCCGTGCAGGGTGTGGCGCAGCCCTCCCACATCCAGCTGGAGGGCCCTGAAGGTGGGCACTGAGCCGTGCCTCTTCTGCCCCAGCTGCCTTTCCTGACAACGTGCCAGAAAACCGTGGAGCCAGGAAAGCTAGGCGCTCCATGGCGCTCTTGGCACTGGTGAAAGGTTTTGAGGAACAGGGACAGAACAGGGGAGCAAAGAGTGGGGGCCGGAGGGCTTGCTGTAGAAGTTATGGGTGAAGAGAGTGTCTCGCTGACCAGCCAACTACCTTCTGCCTCTCAGGGTTCTCTGTGGGTTCTGCCGTGTGGAGTTGTGGGGTGCAGGCTTGGCCATGGACCCGCTCTCAGAGCTGCAGGATGACCTGACCTTGGATGACCCCAGCCAGGCTTTGAACCAGCTGAAGCTAGCTTCCATCGATGAGAAGAACTGGCCCTCAGACGAAATGCCTGACTTTCCCAAGTCAGGTGGGCACGGCTGGATGGCAGCTGCCTTGGGAGCCTTAGAAGGGGAGGCCCCCCTGAACTTTCTATGGAAGGAAGACCCTGGGAGGATGGGGTGGGGGCAAACAGATCAGCCCCCTTCTCAGAGCTGATCAGATCAGATGAGGGTGGGGCTGCAGCATAGGCCTTACCTGGGGAAGGGCCAGAGAGCACGAATCTTGGGGGGGGGATGTTGTCCCAGCCCCCAGATCATCCCCTGACGTTGCTGTGTTCCTCAGATGACTCCAAGAGCAGCTCCCCAGAGCCTGTCACACACCTGAAGTGGGATGACCCTTACTACGACATCGCCCGGCACCAGATCGTGGAGGTGGCAGGTGAGCGCCCCCCGCGCCCCAGCCTTGCACCTTGTCCCCCACAGTGCGCACTCCTGGCTTAAGGAAGCCAGCCCCTCCTGCCTGAGGGCACGGGGCTGCAGGGGAGGGGCAGGCTTCACCCCTGACCCGGGAGCTCTTCTGGCTCCATGTACCATTTTTTTTTTCTTTTTGAGTTCACTTTATTTTTGTTTTTTGTTTTTTAATTGGAGGATGATTGCTTTATAATGTTGTGCTGGTTTCTGCCATAAAGCAACGGAAATCTGCCAGGAGTATATGTGTATACACACACCCCCTCCCTCTCAGACCTCCCTTCACCCCCCGCCCCCACCTTGCCACTCTCGGCAGTTTCAGACTCACTTGTGATGGCCGCTGGGTCTGGTCACCCACAGCCACCTCCCGACCTGTGACCTGGTCTCTGTTGGTGGATGGCGTGTGGGAGGCATGCTGAAAGCCTTGGGTGTGATTCCCAGGTCTGCTCGCTGAGCGCCTTTCCTCCTCCCAGGGTTGCTGAGAGGATGACGGCGGTGAACATATGTCAGGGCCTGGCCCACAGCCAGAACGCAGTTAGCCCTGAACACGTGTTCATTTGCTTCCCTTCCCTGTGCCCTCAGGTCAACTTTTCTACCCAGGAGTTACTAGGAATCCCAGGGAGGTTCCAGTCCCTCTGGGGAAACCCCAACTCTAAGGAAGTCTGGAATGGCAGAGCCTCCTTGCGGGAGTTAGGAGCCGTGTGACTCCTGGGGCCTTGGGTTGCCCACACATGTGCTACGTGCGAAGAACAGGTGTAGTGGCTCCCTGGAGTCTTGGCCTCAGTGAGCGCCTGCCCTGCTGTTCATAACACAGGGCCCAGAAGACCCCTGCAGCAGGGAGGAAGCAGAGACGTGGATGACCTGGTTTCTGCCCTTAGTCCTCCTGCTGAAAGAGGAAATTGAAACTGTGGGATCCTTTGTCTTTGCTTCAGCTGTAAGCAGGGTGACAGCGTGGCCCTGTTCTGAGGTCTTGGGGTGGACTAGGGGAGCCAGATGGCTTCTGGCCCCTGGAGCCCTGTGCTGTGCTGGCCAAGGGGTACCTGGAGGCATCTGGCCACAGGGAAGGTGCAGGGAGCCCTGTCTCTCCTGAATGCTGGGCTCAGGGAGGGGTGGGGAAGTTGAGAGGGTTGTCCCTAACATTTCAAGGTGTTTCCTTGGCATCGATGTCCCTGACACCTGCCCTGGTCCGGGTTGGAGAACTTGGTGGTGGCCTCTCTCAGCCCTACTTAAAGCAAGGCCGAGAGTTCTTTAGTGATCTGGTCCTGCCCTGAGCACAGGCAGTTTCCCTTGAAGGTTTATAACATTCTGTCCCTGCTACCAGAGATGGACCTGGTTGGAAGTGTCTGATGTGAAGGAGTCTGTCTCCTGACCTCCTCCGGGCGCGCATGCCTGAGTCACAGGCAGAGCAGGGTAGGCTGCCCCCGGCCCCCCGCAGGTGTGACCCCCGCAAGCCGAGCGGCAACTTGTTTCTGTCTCTCCAGGGTGTGGTGAGCCTGAGGGGGCCCAGCCAGGTAGGTGTGATGCTGGCTGTCCGTGCTTGGCCTTCTCTGGGCTGTGGATCAAGAAGGGCTCTTGGTGGAAGCCAGGTGGGGCTAGCTTAATTGCAGCCCCACTCCCGAGAGCTGGGAGCTGGTGGTGCCGGGGGGCGGTGGAGATCGCAGAGGATTATAGGAGGTTTGACAGCGTGGGGGCTGTGCGGGGAGACACATGCAGGGTCCTAAGGGAACGGCGCCCCAGAGGACGGAGGAGGCCTTGTCCATGGGGGGTCATGGGGCTGGCTGTGAGCCATGGCCTGGCCTGAGTGCTGGCTCAGGGCCCCTCTTGGGGGGCATCCTCCATGTGTGTGCTTGATTGCCAAGAGGTGTTCGGATTGGCACTGCCCAAGCAAGAGTTGTTTGATGAAGCCTGTGGCAATGAATGTCCGGGGAGTCCAGTTTCCTGGCCTTGGAGCCCCTCCTGCAAAAGGGAAAGTGAGTTGTGTCCCCAACTCCTCTGCAGTCCTCTGTTGTCCTTGCTGGCATGGCTGGCATGCTCCACGGTCAAACCTGACTGGTCCACATGGGTTCTTTCCAGTGGCATGCTGGTAAATGTTTAATAGTTGGCCCTCCAGAAAGGAAAAAAACAAAAACTGTTATTGTAATATTTGTAGCAGTTTCAAATTTTACCTGTCAGTAGATTTCAAGCCACCAACAGTGATGTCGCTGGCTTGCAGTATCGCCGACAGTTTAACCTTTGCAAGAACGTGCCCCAGCTCCCACCTCCCATCTCCTTGGCGGCCTGCTCTCAGGTTGTGGGAAGGTGCTGGTCTGGCCCGTCCAGAATGCCTGCTGGAGGAGGCGCGCTGTGGCTGACTAACCCCCGGTTTCCCCTGGGAAGTTCCTGATCGGTGTTGGGGGAAGGCAGAGGTTTCATTCTCAGGCGGCTGGTCTTTTCCTGGTGCTTTTCCACAAGCGCCGGGCCTGCCCTCTGAGCCCTGTCCCTCAGTGCTCTGGGGACAGAGCTCCTTCTTTCCCTCCAGCCTCCAGCGTGGAAATCTGTTCTCTTCTGAGATCAGGGGGGCACTCCCAGGCCTTTTTTACGCATGTGTCTTGGAGGAGCAGTTACCATGCCTACTGGCAGATGCCCAAGCCACGCAGGACATGGGCAGTTGGGGCTCCACTCCAAGGAGGAGAGGGCAGGGGCCGGGCCCTGGGCTTACCCATGTATCGCTCCTTTCTGGTCTGAGATTCCTGCCATCCAGTGTCTCCCTGATCGCACCCTCCCCTCCACTTTGTCCCTCATCCCCATCCTGATTTCACTTGCATTTGTAAAACATTTACTCTGGAACAAGCCCAGTAGTCAGCACTGAGGATTCATTGAGGAAAAATGCACACTCCTCCTTTCACGGAGTGTACAGTCCAGTGAAGTGGTTCTTGAAGTGGTCAGGAGGCCTCCTTGGGGATATGAAAGGTATGGCCCTCTTTTGCAGAAAACACATGCACGGGCTGGTAATATCTTTTCTCTAAGATCATGGTGTTGGTGGGTGCCCATTGGTGGAACCCCGGTTGAGGATCCAGTGTCCCATTTACAAGGTGCTGGGGCAGCTGAGTGGTGGAACCACGGGCCTCTGGCCTCTCACCTTGGCTGCTTGCTAAATCAGTTACCAGCTCTTTAAATCCCAGAGCCCTGTGAGCTCAGCCCTCCTGCCCTGTCGAAGTCCTCAAGTCTGCCAGTGTGTGTGTGTGTGTTGGTCACTCAGTTGTGTCCAACTCTTTGCAATCCCATGGACTGTCGCCCACCAGGCTCCACTGTCCATGGAATTCACCAGGCAAACATACTGCAGTGGGTAGCCGTTCCCTTCTCCAGGGGATCTTCCTGGTCCAGGGATTGAACCTGGGTCTCCTGCACTGCAGGCAGATTCTTTACCATCTGAGCCACCAGCCAACGAGGGTCACCTTACTGTTGGAAGGCAGCGATGACCACCTTTCAGAGTCCTCAATGCTCCTCCCAGTATTCCCCTGCACCCTGGGTGTCTCCTCCATTCAGAGAAGAGTAGAGAGATGATGCGTGCCCCTTCCCCCCAAACCCTTCTTCCCCCTCCCCTGCCCCCCCAGCCACAGGCTCATAGTAGGAGGCCGAGGGCTTTATTCAGCTCCAGACTGTACATGCGGCTCAGCTGGCCAGTCTCACCTTCGTCCTTGCCCCCTGCCAGCCTGCTCTTCCTTCTGTCGGAGTCAGTGGGAAGTGAATCAGAGCAGGCAGCAGGGCCACCCCCCGCTGGCCGCTAAGGAACCAGTGCCTCAGGATCTGGGCCAGGCTGTGAAGAACAGGTGACACCTGCTCCTTCAAAATAGACCTGCTGCTGGACGGAGCTGCACCATGTCCACCTCAGGAACGCCTGCAGACGGAGCTCGGCTCGTGAAGTCTGGAGAAAGTCCACCCCATGCTTTGGGAGACTGCCTAGAGCAGGCTCATAACCCAGATAGCACTGCGAGCAAACTCGGAAATAGAACCGCGCCGGGCTGACCTGGGCCAGGCTACTGGCACTCAATGAACACCAGTCACGCTTCTGGGCTCTGGAGCAGCACTGGACATTCAAAGACGGACAAGGCAGCACCTGTCTCTTCGCCTCCAGAAGAGACAGACACGAAGACAGTTATACAGGAGAGTCAAATCATCGTGACAGCTCACACGGTGACCCCTTGCCTGCCCCAGGGAAGGAGGAGACACACAGGCTTCTGCTTGGGACGAGTCTTAAGGGTTCAGAGGAGATAGCCTAGAGAAGAGGAGCAGAATTGCCTGGAGGAAGTCCTGTCTGTCTGGCATGAGAGGCAGACGCTAAAGCCGCCTGTTGTGCATTGGCCTGAATATGTGGAGTGTGAGCCTGCCGCGGGGGGAGATGGGGCCAAGCCTGGAGAGCCCTGTGAGCGCTCTGAGGGGCTGTTACACAGCTCAGCATAGGGTTCAGGAGGAAAGGGGCGTCACGGCAGGAGGGACAGGCACAGGGAGATGTTTCTAATTCTCCACGGCTGGAAGGTGGGGCCGTTTCAAAAGGAGAACGGAGCCTGTCTCTGGGCTGGATGGGAAACCTGACCCAGGACATTCTGGGAGGGTCCCGGCTGGCACCTTTCAGGGCCAACAGAGGCTTGGCAGTGTTCTGAGTGGAGATGGGTTGATGCAGAGGCTGGACACGATAGTCAGGTGTAGGAGCCAGATGTGGGCTCAGGCCAAAGCACCAGGTTGACCCCCAGCAGAGACTGAGGCCATGCCGCCCACATTCCAGAAGCCTGCTTCAGCCTTGAGAAGAAGGGCAGAGCCTTGGCAACCACTTTGGAAAAGCACTGAGTCCTGGGTTAAGTCACTGACCAGAAGGATCATGAAGACCATGGTTCTTTAAACACGGAGAAGACACCCAGTAGTAAGGTGTCAAGGAATCCCTTAGTCCTCAGAGGTGAGAGGCAGACAGGCCGTGTGGGCTGTGTAAATGGTTTTTTTATTTGCCTCTGAAGCAGGGGCATTAGGTGAGTGTTGTCTGGTGACTCTGGAGAGCTTGAGGCTAAAGATGAAGGGAAGGGCCCTGGGACATAGGGGATGGGGGACTGGGCCTTATCCCCACCTGGCTTTGCTTGGGGTCCCTGGTCAACACTGACCCTGGAAGAGCATCTCGCCTCGGGAGGCTGTCTCATGTCTCAGAAGCTCCCCGGCTTCATGACAAGGCCAGATGGTCAGACCATGGAATAGTGACTCATTTTGGACAGACATCCCTCAGGATTTATATCATGAGCATTTTTCCAAAGCATTATAAACTCCTCTGAATGCCACGTTCTTTAGAATATCCTTAATGAGAAAGAAATGATCTGTAGAAATGTCCAGAGATCAATCAACTGTGGCCAGTAGTTCTGATAGTAAAAATCAGAAAGTGCTGTTTAGTAGTCAAGAGCAAGATATGACTATTAAGTCATCAGACTGATTTCCTTGGTGGCCCCAGGCTTTCTAAGAAGTTGGCTCCAAGAAGTTTTTCACATACAGGCTGCTCAGAGCAGGTGCTTCTGGGATAAGCGTGGAATTATAAGATGTGGGGCAGTTGCTTTGGTGGCTGTGACTTTGTTTTGTTTTCTTTAGTTATGATGAAATTTACATAATGTAAAATTAACTGTTTTAAAGTGTTTAATTTGGTGGTGTTTAGTACATTCTCACTGTTGAACAACCACTACCTCTGTCTAGTTCCATCCTTTCATCCATAGTTTCACCCATGCCAATCCCCCATAACCATAAGCATCATTCCCGATTCCTCCCAGCACCTATAACCACTGATTTGCTTTCCTTTGCTACAAATTTACCTAAGTAGCTCATATAAATGGAACCAAACCACGTGTTGCATTCAGGTTCTTTCACTGAGCATCCTGGTGTCAAGGTTCATTCACAGTGTAGCATGCATCAGTGCTCCATTCCTTTTTATTGCCAAGCAGTCGTCCATTGCACAGAGAGACCACATCTTCTTTATCCACCCATCCACTGACGGACATTTGGGTTGTTTTCCACCAGGCGTGACTTTTCAGAAAGTCATATTGTATTTTTGTACCCTGGATCAGCAGCCCTGAGAGCACCTTGTCCCTCTTTCCTCAGCGACACGCCCTCAAGTGTAGGCAGCTGCGCAGAGGTCTGTCTGCCTGGCCCCAGTGCTAAACGGCATGGGTCTCCAGACCTGGCCCCTTTCAGGTCCTCGCCTGACTTCTCGTGGCTGATGGCGCACCCGCTGTCTTCCGTCTTTCTCCACACCTAGGAGATGACAAGTACGGGCGGAAGATCATTGTGTTCAGCGCCTGCCGAATGCCCCCGAGCCACCAGCTGGACCACAGCAAGCTCCTGGGGTGAGTGCCCACAGTGGGGTGGACTGGGGCCCCGTGCCTGGATCCCTCCTGCTGCGGGAGGCCATTGTCCTTCCTGTCTCTTCCTGCCCTAGGAGTACCAAGCCAGCCACCTCCCTCAAGCCCTCCCCTCTTCTGCCGAGGGGGCTGTTTCGTCTTATTTATTCATTTGTCTTTGGCTGCACAGGGTCTTCACTGCTGCACGGGCTTTTCTCTTATTTGTGTCAAGCACGGGCTCCTCTCTGGTGGCGGCGCAGGGGCTCCTCATTGCGGTAGCTTCTGTTGTAGCAGAGCACAGGCTCGAGGGTGCCCGGGCTTCAGGGGTTGCAGCACGTGGGCTCGGCAGTTGCGTTCCTGGGCCCTGGAGCACAGGCTCAGTAGCTGCGCACGGGCTTAGCTGCTCCGTGGCATCTGGGATCTTCGCAGACCAGGTGTTGAACCTGCATTGGTAGGGGGATTCTTTACCACCGAGCCATCAGGGAAGCCCTGTTTTTTTATTTCAATAATTTTATTGGAGTCTGACTGTGCTGGGGCTTCGTTGCCGTGTGGGTTTTTCTGTAGTCTCCTCCTGGCAGTGCACGGCTTCTCGTTGCCGTGGCTTCTCTTACTGTGGCGCGCAGGCTCGTGGGCGCACAGGCTGCACTAGCTGCAGCTCCTCAGCCAGCCGTTTCACATCTGCGGGGCGGGTGGGCTAGGAATCAGACCTGGTTTCTAGTCCTGGAAGCCATCTGCGTGACCTTGGCAAGTGTCTTCATCTCTTCCAGCTTCTTTTCACTTTTCTTAGGGGATGATACAGCCCTCGTTCCTCGTAGGAGTGAGATATCCCATGTGAAAATACTTTGAAAAGTCAAATACTGTCCAAACGCGAGGCCTGATTAAGATGATGATCAGTCTGAGGCGTTTGCAGTTGCTCACCATTTACATGAATAATTACCATTAATTGTATTTTGTGCCACATCTGGTGAAACGACTTCTGTACCTATGTGGGTTCTGAATGCTAAGTACATGACATAGCTCTGGTTGGTCTGGAAATCTCCGGAGGCAAGTTTGAAGGCTGATTGAAAGCGGAAGTGTGACAGTCTCTGTCCTGCTAAGTGTGGGTCCTTGGGCCCCCACCAGACCTGCGCTGGGTCCACAGAGCGTGTGGGACCCCCAGAGGCAAGGCCATAGCTGCCTTCCTCCTGAGGCTCCTCCTCGTGTGCACAGATTCCTATCTTGCCCTCCTTTCCTGACCACTTCAAAGCACTCCCCAAGGTTGATAATGTCTGCCCTGCCCTTACTGGCTCTCTGGGGGTCCTGAATGGCTGTGTATGTGGAGGGGCTGGTGTGGGGCCCGGGACAGTCTGGGGCTGCGGCAGCAGAAAGCCACGGGGGCATGGCGGGGGGTGGTGCATTGCAGAGTCTTTGCAGTCCTATGTGACTGCTTTCCCTCTGGTCTCCGGAGCCCTCCTCCCCGGGCTCCTCAGCCGGCCGTGCAGGGAGACACAGCCTTGCCCGGGCCTGTCCTGCGGCCCGCCTGAGGGGGCTGAGTCACATGCCCTCCTCTCTGGTTTTATCTCAGCAACTGGCAAGGCGTGGGACAGACCCCTGGCCGGATGATGGTCCGAGTAGGAGGCAGTCAGAGGGAGGGGAGGTGGGAACGCACCCAGCTTTCAGGGGAGAGCTTGCTGGGTAAGGCCGCCCCCCTCGGGGGCTTCAGAAAGCCCTCTGTTACTCATCCCCTCTGTCCTGCATTCCTTCCCAGCAGGGTCTTACCCCCTCCACCCGGCCTTGAAAGGAGGCACTTTCATCAGTCTTGTCATCTTGTTTCCAGTCTGATTATCTCAGGCTTGGCTTTTCCCAGCTGTCCAGTCAGATCTGGGGGTTGAAATAGAAAGTGCCTGAAGCTTGGATGCAGAAGACCAATGAAACTTCAGCCCTGCCATTAACTAGCTGTGTGCTTGGGTCACGTCTCTCCTGAGCCCTATAAAAATAAGAATTGTGCTTATCGGGTTGGTGTGGGCCTTAAGTAAGAAAATATACATGAAATGCTATTGTATTCATCTGTATCACAGATTTCAAGGATTTAGAAAAATGTAGATAGCAATTAAGAAGTATAAGTGCGATAAAGTGTCCCATAAACCAACCACCTGGAGAGAAAAACCACTGTTAATATTTTAGTGTATTCACATCCTATTTTTTTTTCTGTAATATATATTGTACCCTATAGTCAGTTTTATATATTACATAATGTTTTTATCTTTTGAGCATTAGACATTCCTCAAGGACATCCTTTTAAAAAATTGTTATTAATATATATGTATCCAGGAACGCAAGCACATTATGTATACTACTAGATAAATTTTCAAAAATTAAATATACCCTTATCATCCACACCCACAAACCTCGCTTTGCTCTTCCCGTCACTGCCCCAAAGTGTAACCACTGTTCTCACATCAAGCTTCACAGATTGGTTCTGTCTGCAGAAACATCCTGTGGGGTATTCTGTTTATAGATGTCCTGTGATTTATTTAACCAATTCCCTATTCTTGGACACTTAGTTTGCTGTTCATTTTCCCCCCCATTATAAAATAGGCTATAATGAACAGCCTTTTATTAAAGCACTCGTGTCCATCTCTGATTAGTTACTGGGGATAAACTCCTGGACACACTTTTACCAGGTCAAACAGTGTGAATGTTTTGTGGCTTCTGATAAACATCACTTCATTGCCCTCCCAAATGTCCTAACATTTATCAGAGGATGAGTGTATTTTCACTACAACCTTTGCTGTTTTACTTATTTATCTTTGTAAATAAATCAGTTGTGCGGCATGCAGGATCTTAGTTCCCCCACCAGGGATTGAACCCATGCCCATTGAAGTGGAAGCTCTGAGTCTTGACCACCGGACCACCAGGGAAGTCCCTCACTTTGCTGTTTCACAGTTGCAAAATGCCCTCTTTTTATGTGACAGCTTTCTTGCAAAGTGCTCAATGTGTATGAGGGGTAAGTTATTGTGCAGTGACGATGATCAGAATTAAGATAATAAATCTGGCATCAGACACCTCACACGCCCACCAGTGCTGTCCCAGCCCGGCACCCGTGGACCAGTGTTCAGGTTACCCTCTCTGGGTTAAGTCAGATTGTGTCTGGGCACTTAGTCCCATCCTCGGGCACTTTTCCTGGCTCCTTTCCTCCTTCCCCGCATCTCCTTGGAAGCCCTTAGCATTCCTGCATGCCCAGCCTCCCAGCCTGGAGCAGCGTTCCTCCTGGGACCTGGGAGCTGTAGGCCAGGCAGGAAGAGGGTTTTCCCCAGGGCTCCTCTCCATCTCTGGAATTCATATTCATTCACTTCCTACTTTCCCACCTCAGATGAGCCCAGCATCCACGTGTGTGTTTGTATTAGATGGTAGGTATTGTGCTGTGAGGATTGGGAACTTGAACTGTGGGTCCTTAGTCCACAAGATGTCCAGAAAAAAAAAAAGACTGGAGCAGGAGAGGAGGTCCTGTATCCACTCTGATCCCCTTTTACAGTGTTCTGTAGCCAGCCCTGCGGGTGTAAAAGGCAGACCTGTCCCATGATCAACGCGGCCAAACTTGGAGTCAGTTCACCTCCAGGCTCTCCCACAAGCTTGATCTCTCTGAGCCTCACTGCCCTCACTTGTAAGAAGGGAATAGTGTCAGCCTCCATTATAATGAGGAAAGGTGAGATAGTGTATGCAAAGTGCTCGGTGGACACTGAAAGCTTAATCCTGATCACCATTGACTCACAGCAACCCCGTGAGGGGAAAGGCTATTCCCATTTTGACTGGAGGTATGTGAGGTGGCTCCAGTTAGAGTCCTGGTCTCCTGACTTCTAGTCAGTGCTCAGGAGAACTGTTGTTGTTACCGTTATTCCGCTCCCAGCCCAGCTGTTCCTCGTCCACCACAACACGGTGACCAGTTGTTCCTGGGCGGAGGCGGGAGGGGCAGCTTCTTGGGTGCGCAGGGTCTGTCTTACCTGGGCCTCCCCTGCGGACATGCCTGAGTGGGGGTGTCTCTTGCAGGTACCTGAAGCACACCCTGGACCAGTACGTGGAGAGCGATTACACGCTGCTCTACCTACACCACGGCCTCACCAGCGACAACAAGCCCTCCTTCAGCTGGCTCCGTGATGCCTACCGGGAGTTTGACCGCAAGTGGGTGGGGGCCTCAGGGGAAGCTCCAGGGCCCCTGGGGGGCCAGCATCTCGGCCCTATAATGGGCTGCCGTCTGCTCAGGCAAAAGTGTGTACTCCATGCCCGGGGGAGGTGGGTGCCCCCCCCCACCTGGGTGATGGAACACTAAGACTCTCAAATTGGAACAGCCTGGGCTTAAATCCCAGTTTCTCTGCTGAGTCACTCTGTGACCTTTCATGCTCCTTAACTTCCCCGAGCCTGTTTTCTAACATGTAAGATAGGGCCGCAGTGGCACACACCTGGCAGGCTTACCGGGAGTCATCGAGTCAGGAGACATACATCAAGGCCTGGCTCTGTGCCTGTCCCCCGAGCGCCTGTTCTGCCTCTGCAGGTACAAGAAGAACATCAAGGCTCTCTACATCGTGCACCCCACCATGTTCATCAAGACCCTGCTCATCCTCTTCAAGCCCATCATTAGGTGCGTGGGTCCAGGGTGGGCACTGACCTCTCATGCCCCTCTGTGAGCTGTGACGCAGGCCCCAGGAAGCCACCCATCCTGGGGACAGACTAGTCAGGCTTCTGCCTGACCTGGGTGGGCCGCTGAGAGAGCGTGGAGGCCTGCTGGAGCCGGCCTGCCCTGGACCCACACGCGCTCTCTTCCGCCGACAGCTTCAAGTTCGGGCAGAAGATCTTCTACGTGAATTACCTGAGTGAGCTGAGTGAGCATGTGAAGCTGGAGCAACTGGGGATCCCCCGCCAAGTGCTCAAGTGAGGCCCGGGTGGGGACTGTGTGTGCCCAGCGGGCACTCTCTACACACAGGTCATGGCTGTGGGGGGAGTGCGTGCCAGCTGAGGGGAGAAGCAGCCTTGAGACCCCCAGGATACGCCGAGGATGCAGATGTAATGGGAAAGAGGCAGCACATGGGGTCAGAGTGAGCCAGTTCAGGTCCCACATCTGCCGCTGAACAGCTGTCACTGAATCTTTTCATCTTTGTTTAAGTGGCTTGTGATCGCTTTACACTGTTGTGTTCGTTTCTGTCGTACAGCCCTGTGAATCCGCTCTATGGACACAGTACAGCTTCCTCACCCTGGAGCCTCCCTCCCTGGTGGACACGGGGGAGGGGGTGGGGAGTAAGCGAGAGAGTAGCCCTGACGTGTAGACACCAACGTGGGTAAGAGAGATAGCCAGTGGGAAGCTGCCGTGTACACAGGGAGCTCGGCTCCGGGCTCGGTGATAGGTCTTTCTGAAGTCCTAACTTGCTGCTGGGCAAAGCTGGGTTGCTGCGAGGACTGAATGAGGTCATCCATGTAAGGCAGCCCAGTGTCTGACACACAAGAGTTGCCATAGTGACCGCGGGGCCAGACTGGGGCCGACCCTCACTGCTCCCGCAGGTATGATGACTTCCTCAAGTCCACACAGAAGAGCCCCGCAACCGCCCCCAAGCCCATGCCACCACGGCCCCCTCTGCCCAACCAGCAGTTCGGTGTCTCCTTACAGCAGTGAGTATGGGAAAGGTGGGGTGGGGCGGGCATCCGAGGGCCGGGAGGGCGGCAGGGCCCTCACGGCCTCGTGCACGCAGGCTCCGGGAGAAGAACCCAGAGCAGGAGCCCATTCCGCTCGTGCTGCGGGAGACCGTTGCCTACCTGCGGGCCCACGGTGAGTGCCGGGCTCCCTCCGCCTTCGGGGAGCTGCGGGGCAGGGCTGGGCGGGGTCGCACGCGCACCAGTACCCGCTCTGACCCGAATGGGAAGCCCAAGATGCGCGGAAGGGGCTGGGGGAGCCCACGCGGTGTCCCAGAGCTCTGAGACTCACCAGGCCCGGCCACCCTCAGCTCTCACCACCGAGGGGATTTTCCGGAGGTCGGCCAACACGCAGATTGTCCGGGAAGTGCAGCACAAGTACAACATGGGTGAGTGGCCCCTGGGGCATGCTGAACCCCGAGATCGTGTGTGTGTGTGGGGGGGGGGCATGCGTGTGTGGTTTCTGTGGCATTTGGCATGATTACACCGGTCTCACGTCTGCCTGCTTGACCCAGACCTACTTCCTCCTAGATGAGGTTTCTAGAGGGAGGCGAGGAATAGCCGTGGTGCGTGTTCAGGGGCCCCGCTCCGCAGATGGCCTGGCCCTGTCCCCTTGTCTCGTGGGAGGCGGGGCTTGTGGCCAAGGGGGCGGTCAGGATTGGCTGCCGGCCTCCAGGCCCCGCCCAGCTCCTCTGCACCGCGCCCCGCCTTCCCCTCTCTAGGGCTGCCCGTGGACTTCGAGCAGTACAACGAGCTGCACCTGCCGGCAGTCATCCTCAAGACCTTCCTCCGGGAGCTTCCCGAGCCCCTGCTCACCTTTGACCTCTACTCCCACGTGGTGGGCTTCCTCAGTGAGTGCCCCCCCCTCCCCTCCCCAGCGTCCGCAGCGTGGGGTCGTAGCTGGCCTCAGAGCGAGCCTGTCCGCCTGGGAAAAGTCTGGTTGGGGGGTTTCCCTCGAGTCTGCTGAGAGGGCTTCCCGAACCCGTGTGACCCGGCCCCCATTCCTCACAGACGTTGACGAGAGTCAGAGAGTGGAGGCGACGCTGCAGGCCCTCCGCACGCTGCCCGAGGAGAACTACCTGGTGCTGCGTTTCCTCACTGCCTTCCTGGTGCAGGTGAGACTCGGGCGGGCCTCTCCCGCTCCCCTGGAGTGGGGTGGGGGCCGCTGCTCCTGGACTCCGTTGCCGGGCGTGGGAGGCGGCGTCCGTGGTTTCCAGCTGCAGCGCCCCCTCCTCCCCCGCCGTTCCTCACACAGGTCTCGGCCCTCTCTGACCAGAACAAGATGACAAACACTAACCTGGCTGTCGTCTTCGGCCCTAACCTGCTGTGGGCCAAGGACGCGGCCATCACCCTCAAGGCTATTAATCCCATCAACACCTTCACTAAGTTCCTCCTGGATCACCAAGGAGAGTTGTTTCCTAGCCCCGATGCCAAGGGGCTCTGAGTGCCCGCCCAGCCCGCCCCCTGCTCAGACAGCCCACACTCTGGACTTTCCTTCCTGGCTCCAGCCCCGAAAAGGGGCCCTGAGTCCCCCGGAGAGGGACGCTGAGGCCCGCCCCGGGACAGCACCTCCTCCCTTTCTGGCCGGCCCACCTGGCCGGCTCCCGTGGCCTCACTGTAACCGCAGGACCTTCTCTCTTCGCCTTACACTTCTCACTGCCTCCTTGGGTCCCCGGCTCCGTGAAGGCTCTGCGGAGCCAGCTCTTCAGGCTGGAGGCCCGGCCCCAGCAGCCGCCCCTCTGCTTCCTCCTGCCCGTATCCCTGGCAACTGGAGGTGCCAGAGTCACTGCCGGCTGGGCTGGGAGCCGGGGCTGGTTCTCTCCCTTCTGCCTGCGGGGGAGCGAAAGGCTGCGCTGGCTGCACTGGTCCTGCCGAGGCTCCTCCCTGTCTGGGGGAAGGCCCAGTGGCAGGCACCCGGTTCCTGTCCTCTCCCCTCTGACGGCTCAGCCTTTGGCACTTCCACAGCAAACTGACGGCAGGCTGGAGTCCCACGCCTGCCTTCTCTTCCGCACATCCTGGGTCAGCCTTTCCTAGATGGTACTGCCCCCCGGGCATCCTCACACCCCTGGTTCTCCTGCCAGGACTGGGAGCTTGGGTGACGGGGCTGGGACCCTGCCTCCATTCACAATAGACGCCCCACTCTCATCCCTGACAGCCCCCTAGGGTCCACTCAGACCGGTGACTAGCGGCCCCCCGCCCACCCCCTGCCTTGCCTCTCCTTCCCCCCGACTTGGACACATCCTTGGCCTCGTCTGTCCTGGAGTCACAGGGGGCCCTGCTCCGGCCTGGCCTGACTCAGGGCCTCAGATGGGTGGTGGCTGCTTCCTCCAGTTGCAGGCTCCTGGAGGGGCCGGGTAGAGACTTTGCTGATTAGATTGGCCCCTGCCAGGTAAATTCTAGCAGCCTCCCCCTGGAACTGGTGATGGCGGAGGCCCCTCTTTCCAGCTGTCCCTTCCTGGTGAACCTTCTCCCTGAGGCCTCGGCCGGAGCCCGCACCGTGGAGGCCTCTCTGACCAGCCCTGCCCCATCTGCGAGCTCTGTCCCCAGGACACTGGCGTGTCAGGGCCCCCGTGGACGGATGTGGCTGCTGTCAGCCACTGTGTCTCCAGGCCAGGCCCAGGCTTCTGCTGTCTGCCTGCCTTGGTACATCAGGTGTTGCTCGCCGTTCCATTTACTGGGGAGCCTCATGATCTGTTCGGCCTCTCTCCCGTCCCCCTCCCCTCGGCCCTCACCGCTAGTCTTTACCTGGGGGTGCGGGGGACTTGTTCTGTGAATCAAGTGTTCACATTCATACTTAATGACTTCCTTGGCACCAATCATGTATTTTACCTTTGCACTTTTTATATTTCAGTAAAAATCGAGATGGAAAACTTTGCATCTGGCTGATCATAGAAGTGGGCATGGAGGCTCAGAACTGGGTGGGAGGTGCAGGGTGGTTGTGGAAGAGGGGCAGATAGGGCCACAGGAAGCCCCCGCTCCATTCGTCTGACCCCTTCACCCGCTGGGATGAAGCCAGCTTTCTGAGCATCTTCCAGGCTTAGAAGCATGAATAGTCACCTTCATTCCAGCTGGCCCCCAAGTGCTGTATCCTATTAACCAGGACCTCCGTCCCCCAAACAGAGCGGACCGTGGTGGACCACAGCATGAGCTGTGGAGTCAGGCCGGGGTTTGAATCCTGGTTCCATCACTCACAACCAGCTCTGACTGGTAATTGTCATGCAGCTGGTCCCATCACTGAGACTGTTGCTTTGTGTCTCGGATGATCAGAACTACAGTTGTCTTTCCTAGATGTGGGGGATGTGTTCCAGCCACCCCCACCCCTAGATACAAAAATCCAAGGGTGCTCGAGTCCCGTATATAAAGTGGTGCAGTATTTGCAATATAACCTACATACATCTTTTCTTTATTTCTAGATCACTTAGAATACCTAATACAACATAAATGCCATGTAAATAGTTGCCAACATGCGGCAGATACACATTTTGCTTCTTGAAACTCCCTGGAATTTCCTTTTTCCAAACATTTCTCTATCCAAGTTTGGGAGCTCTCACATGTGGAACCCGCAGGTGCAGGGGCCAACCATAATGAGCACACAGCATTACAGAATGAGTGCCCAGTGGAAACGGGAATGCTGGTCATGTCGCAGATGAGTGAAGTGACAGTCCCAACCTCCGGTAGCAGCCAGGGCTGGAGCCCTCATCTCCTGACCATTGCGGTCCTGCCCATACTTCCCTCAGCCAGAGAGCTTGGCTGTTTCCTCCTGCTAGCCAGTCATGTGGAGGCTATGAAAGATCCAGCTTTCCTCTTTTGAGCAGGTTTGGCTTTGCTTTCAAGGTTAAGATAGGGACTTCCCGGTGCTCCAGTAGCTAAGACTTCATACTCCCAACACAGGGGGCTTGGGTTCAATCT